GTTAGTGTGCTGGCAGGTCCCATATCTAGAAAGGGACATTTTATAGATAATGCCTCCTTCCCCCACTGACCCCCCATACAAGGCTTCTCTGTGTATCTCTGGCTGTCCTGGAACTCACTCTGTAGACCAGGCTGGTCTCGAACTCAGAGATCAGCCTGCCTATGCCTCCTGAGTGCTGGGATTAAAGGCATGCACCACCACCGCTGGGCAGATAGTGCCCACTTGATGGTTCCTCATATGGTGGAAAGTGCTGACTAGTTCTCTAGTTTTTTTTGTAAGGGAAGTACATAAGGGTTCTGTATTCATGACCTAGTCACTTTCCAAAGTTCCTCACCTTCTAATACTATCCCCTTAAAGCTAAGATTCTAGCATATGAATTTTGAGAGAAAAACATTGGAACCATAGTGGGAGGGAAGAAAAGGTGTAATTGTGTGGATGGAGAACCATATACTGGAGGCAAACGGGCCAAAGGCATGTGCTGTTTTGGACAGGTATTTGGATTTCTCAAAACTGTTCAAAGGAGGACATCTCAGGTACTTGACTATGGGGATTGAGTCTAAAAGAGAGGAGAAACCTGGACTAACATCAAATAAGTCAGTGCAGTCATAAACGTGACTTGGGAAACCATTACCCAAGGTAAGCCAAGAACACACTATGACTACCCAGCAGCACATTAGATAGAAAAATGCTGCAAGGAGCTGTGCTTCTAGTCTCAGGTACTCCGGAGGGGGGATTTGGGAAGATCAGTACTCCTTAAGGACAAGAGGTAAAGGATAGTATGTGCAACATATCAAAACAATCAGAGTCAGTGAGAGTCAGTGAATCAGCAGAGTACTTCAAAAGTAAGCTGCTGAAAGGTTCCAGAGGAAATGCTCTACACAGGGCAAGCAAGAGACAACACAGCTTCCTCTGGTCGAGCACGGTCGGTGCCTCCATCACTGGAGAGGTCTTCATAGCCTCAACGCACTACTCTCGAACAGATACACTTAAGACTCAGTCTGGAGTAACAGGGCACACAGCCCATAGCCCAGTTTCTGCTGAGACCCTAGAGGTAGCCATGGGACAGATGATGCCTCACCAAACTCCACCGCTAGATACACAGCTGCAACAGCCAGAGCAGTGCACAAAGCACAGATGGAAACGGACACACCGGAAGTGGCCTCAGCTTCCGGCTTCCTGCACGGCTGCCAAAGCAAACTGTACGACTGGTGACTGACTGGCCAGCCTACAATCATTCTGAGGCCACGGGAAACCATAAAGAACTACTTACCATATTACTTCCCAGATGGGCCCATCTGGTAAATAACCGCTGCCCGGTGGAGCTAGAGGTCCTTGGTCCTGTACTGCTACTCTGCAGCTAAGCCTGGCAGGTAGGTAGATATCTAGTGCTGTCTTGGAGTAATGCTGGAATTTTATACTGAATTCCGGGGAACAAGACATGTATGTATGTGATTTCCTTTATCAATTTGGGTAAAGTAATCCATTCTCATTCTCTAAACTATTATCCAATTAGCTTTTTTGAACTTCAGTGATACCTAGAATCATTGACGTACATTTTAAAAGTTCACAACCTTGCCATCTTAAAATAACATTTATTGGATAATAAATTGCACATCAGATACACACAATTACAGTTGAGAGTTCAATCTAGAGCTAAGACCAATGAGAATGGTAAAGGTGAAACGTTAAACAGAAGTGCATACGGAAAACATTAACTAGGCATCAAGATAACTAGACATGGTAGAATATTTTTAGGTTCATATAAATAAATATTTTGTATTCCCTTTTCCCCTACACTGTTCTTGCAGACAAGGATCTCAATTCAAAGAGACAAAACACATGTAGTTAGCCTTGGAAAGATAGATAATAGTCATTTTTGAATCACATAAATATCTAATATACAAAACTAAAACAGTTAAAAATGCACACTTAAATAAAATTATCTTTTTAACAAAATCAAAGCAAAAGCAGTTTCCTAAGAAGATCCCTGCAACATTCAAAATAGATTATTTTTAATAGAAGCTATAGCCTAGACCTCCCTTTGAATACATATATAATAAATTAGAGATTTAAAAGAAAATCTATCATTTCATATTGTTTGGCATCTTACATTATAGTCACCAGAACACTGCTACTTAATTTTATGGAACTTCAGGTGTCAAAACCAAAAATATCATTTAACTGCCTCAGTTACTGGGCCAGCTGTCTTCAGGGTTACAGGGACCTATGAAGAGATTGTTAATCGTAGCAGCACAATTCTAAACAAAATATTTGAGCTCAACTTCAGCAACAAAATCTAACACCACTTACATACAAAGTGCAAACACTAGTATCTAAATTCCACTGGGAAATACTGTGTCATCATGATGACAGTTTATCAGTCATGCTAAAGAACTGCTTTATTCCCATTTCATTCTCAATACCAAGTTTCCACACTTCTCGGTGTCATCATCCCCCCTACCATTCATGGTAATACACTCTTACATTCCACTTTTTAATCCCTATATTGACTATATCCAATATTTTTATTAGCACCTAACATGACTTGCTAATATCCTGGATTAAGAACAATCTATGGAATTTATTCTAGTTTGCAGTATAGTTAGGAGGATGAAAAGGTCATTATCATAAAAGTAGCCCAAATACCACTGGCAGACACAGCTCTTCATTCAACTCCTTAGGGACACAGCAGCTTGAGGATAACATATACTGATGTTTTTAGGATCAAGTACACAATAACTAAGAATATGCCTATTTCACAGTAGCATTCAGTTTTTTTCCTTTTTTTCTGTATACCAGTCACCAATAATATACCGCGAGCCATTTAATTACTCTCACATATATATTATATAGTAATGATTTTTGTAAAAGTGCCTTTTTCCTAATCCTTTGTGGGTAATCTTTCAAAATCTGGAGAATGCAGAAAACTACAAACACCGAGAGGTAAATTGTGAATCGAGCCCCAACTAGAAATGTGACTTTCCATGTTCAGATGTGCAGCACGACTGCAGTACAAACTTACCGTCTCTATTTCCTTAGAAGCAACTTCATCTTTTATGTCAGCCACATTTTGTCCAAGTACCTTCTGACACATTTCCCTTTTATTCTTTCTGTACCAACCTTATTAGTACGCTTCTTTTCCACTTTCATTCCCCATTCTGTAACACTTCAGTCTTCACTGAAATATTAGAGCATTAGAGGCACTATACCATTTCCCACCTCTGAGAAGAGTAGGAAACTAGTGCTCTTGTTGCTGTTTAACAACAACCATTGTATCTCAGAGGTAAAGACTCGAGACTACCGTTCTATACAATTCAAAGCCATCTCTGACAAAGGGCTGAAGAGACCAGAATGCCATTTCAAATGTGATACCCCAACTCCCTGACAGAATGACCCTTTATATCCTAAATGTGCAGAACAGCCAAGTCTGACCTTGACATACATATTACAGTCTGAACTGTGGACAAGTTGAAATAGTGATCTCCAGAAGAGGGCAACAGATGAGGCAAGGCTGTCGACTTCAGTTTTTCTCAGCAACAGTGCTCTTCCTGTCTATAGTAAATATTAAGAGTTTAGTGGCAGAGCTGTTACCTTTTTGTACATAAAATCCTCACCTGCTCTTCTGTAGAAAGAATAATTCCCAGGTACTGTCTTTTAGACCCTGTCCCTCAAGAGGGCTTTATTTTTGTGCATAAAATTCCCTAGCAGTAATTCCATTTTAGTAAATATTCTATTTTTACAATCCATTTACACAAAATGAAATCATTATTTGCATACTAGCCAAAAGACCATGTAGATAGGTTTACTGATAGGTATATAATCAGTTTGGTTGTAAAGTGTAGTTCTGTAAGAATGTGTAATTACAACATTCTTTGGTTCTTTTAATAACCACACTATGGAAATATTTTGTTCTAATATTTATCTGTAATACCAGTACCTAAAGGCATATTTGTCATCAACTATTTTGGTTAAAAACTCAGTAATCCTATATGTATTTTTCTTTGGAAATGGACATGAAATGTTAAAATTTAATTAAAAAAAATATCTCTAGCTGGTTGGTGGGGGTGTATGCCTTTAATTCCAGCACTCAGGAGGAAGAGGCAGGCAGATGAGTTCGAGGACAGCCTGGTCTACAAAAAGAGTTCCAGGACAGCCAGAGCTACATAGTGAAACCCTATTTCAAAATGGAAAAAAAAAATCTCTGATTTGATATAGTGACAAGAAATTCAAGCATGAACCATAGTCTTCTGTGGCCTTTTAAGAGTAATGAAATCAAGCTTTGGATGAAAATAAGGATATATATATATATGTATATATATATATATTACACACACATACATACATACATACATACATACATACATACATACATATCATGGGCTTCAGGTAATTAGTAAGTGCCAGGGTAGCCTCCACGATGACTGTTGTTCGCCTTCCTCTCCCAGCATCCTTGTCTCCTAGTGTTAACTTGTAGCACAAATTCCAACAGACAATGAAGTATCATAAAATGCAAAGCCTTAAGAATTACAACACACCTGAATGTAGATGTCAACCTCATCACAGTGTGGTGTTTTGTGTGCTTAGCAAAGTATTGATTTTACCTGAAGAGTCCTTTTTCTCAGAATTTTTGGAAAACTAAAATAATATACCCACACTATTTAGCACACTCTCTAAAACATAGTTCTAACTATTCATACTAACCAGGAATGTGCTTCAGAGGAGATCTAGAGACATTTCCTTAGAGAGGAACAAGTACTTTCCTTAAAATCTAACTGTTAGAAAATGTCAGGACCTTCCCCTGCCATCAGGTCTGAAAATGGGCTCCACAAATACTGTCTTCCAGCTGTTAACTAGCTGGATATGATGGTATATAGCAGTAATATTACCACCTGGGAGATGGAAACAGAAAAATAATGATTTTGAGGCCAGCCTGAGCTACATAGCAAGAACACACTCACACACACACACTTTAAAAAAACAAAAAACAAAAAAAAAAAAAAAAGTTGGCTCATTTGGTAGCTTTATATGGAGTCCTGAACTAGAAATTCACATTAAAACAAATATTCTATACAAACATTACACTGAAATAGTTTTAACAAAAGTATAAAAAGAAATATAAATACATTCATTTTCCTAGATACTACATGTACAAAACTGACAAAAAATAGTTTCTTCTTCCTAAAAAAAAAAATTAGCAATAACCTTCATTTTAACAAAAACTAAATTATTTTGGTTTTTGAGACAGGATTCTACTATGTAGCCCTGGCTATCCTGGAACTCATTATGTAGACCAGGCTGGCCTTGAACTCACAGATATCCTCCTGTTTCTGCTGCTTAATTTCTGAAATTAAAGGTGTGTGCCATTGCATCCAGCAGTCAAAAGCAGAATTGTAAAGTTTCATGTTACTCTGGCTCATATAAATGGAATTTGATCAAGTAACTGGGTTCAAATCCTGGCTTCACATGCTATCTATGTAACATTGATTATGTCTCCTCTGTTCTAAATCAGATGTAATAAATAATACTGCCTGCATTACATGGAATGTGTGTAAAGTGCTTGCTTATCCTGGTGCCCCACACATAAGCAGTGTTTCCCATCATAGATATACTGAAAAGCCCACACAGTAGCAGCAAAAGCTTGTATTTACTTGGTGTTTCTCCTATGGGTTCGTTTATGAGTGATGAGATGCATATTCACTCTAAAGCTCTTCCCACATACTGTACATTTAAAAGGTTCTTCTCTTATGTGGGTCTTCTCATGGGATGAAAGTTCTGATTCTAAAGCAAAAGTTTTTGAACATGTTTTACATTTATGAGGTTTTTCCATGTCATGAATGGTTTGATGAGAAACAAGCTCCGAGAAACAAGGAAAGGTCATGTCACAATCAAGACATTGTAAGGGTTTGAATCTGGAGAATGAAAAAAAGTCTTCATCATCAATACTGCAGTTCTTAGACTCATCCTTATGGTCCTTCTCAGGGAGAGCAGGGTATGAGGGCTGCTCCAAGCTCTTCACACACTGTGTGTGCTGGTATGGGGTGTCTGATGAGCCTGTTCTTTCAGGCAAAGCCAGATTTGTTTCTGGACAATAACGTTGATCACGGTCAGCACACTGATAAGAATTTTTATCAGTATGACTCTTCTGATGTTCTGCCAATCCTGGGAGCCACATAAAACTTCTCCCACATACATAACATGTATATGGTTTTTCCTTTATATGGCTTTTCATGTGTCGGGACAGGTGTGACTGTTGCCGGAAGCTGGCAGCACACTTGGTACACTTGTAAGGCTTCTCACCAGTGTGGATTCTCTTATGTGTCCTGAGGTTGGTTCTGTGACTGAAGGTCTTCTCACAGGTACTACATTTGTACTTTTTCTCTCTTGAATGAATTTTCTGATGCAAAACAAGGTATGTATTATCACTGAAACTTTGGTCACAGTCAGGACACTTGTACACATTTTTGGCTTCTTCCCATGGAACTTCAATAATATCAGAAAGTGTTTTGACTCCTAAACATTGAGATAATTCTACTAGTGGGGTTTGGTTTTCAATGGTAACCAAGAGGCTTATAACCTTAGTCTTGCAAGTGAAAGTTCCACCTGACATTTGGCTTTCATGTGTTCCAACATCATCCTCAGATTTTTCAGAGAAATGGACAAGGGGTGCAGCAATGGAGTACGTTTCTAGGGACAGCTCTTCAAGTTCCATAGACTTTAGGCTTAACTGCTGATTGGTCTCAGTCTTGTCTTCCCCTCCTGTTGATAAAAGCAAAACAAAGGAAAACACAGACACCACCTTTAGCTAACACTAGAGAAAGAACAAGTTAAAGTAGTTACACTGAAGACCAGAAACTGAAAATGGGTTAGCTTATTACCCAGACACTAATAAATATACAAAAATCAGGAGCCAACAGGCTCTCTTGACTTCCCCAAATCAAAAGTCTATCCGTGTGGGTGGACTGCAAGGTTCCAGGTCAATCTGCAAAGAGAAGGAGCAGAGAATGACTCTAAGACAGGGTTTGGTGAGATGGGTACTGAGGATAATCTTGGTAGGCAGTGCCTAGAAAGGTAGTTTTTCTGTTTAGCCTATTTAAGTTTTAGGAATATTTTGTTATCTCAAATGAGAGTCAAGTAGTCAAAACCACAATGGAGATTAGACATACTTATCAGAAAACTATTTTTATACTCTAATATCCAAATTATTAAAAAATAGTTCTATATCCTAGAGTGTCTCTAAAACTTCATCCTTTGTAGAAGAATGATCATGATAAAGGTGTTGTGTATACACTACAGACAAATGTTGACTGTCTTATCTCAAGGGCTAACAAAACCTAAACCTAGCATAAAGAATTCCTTTTAAATATTTTTCCTAATATAGCCATCACTAAATACCCATAGGTGAACAGCTGCAGACTCAACTAATTGCAAGTTAAAGATTTTCTTTCCTTTTTAAGTCACATCTATAGCGCCTAGAGAGATGCAGAGGATCTGGGTTTAATTCCCAGCCATATGGCAGCTCACAAGCATTTGTAACTTCAGCTCCAAGGGACCCAACACCCTCTTATGATGTTCTCAGGCACCAGGAATGCACATGGTGCACAGACACATGAAGACAAATGTTCATATACACAAAAGTAAATTTTTATTTACTTTGCAAAGCATGTAAGGAATAGTAATTCACAACTCATAACAAGGAGAAAAAAAATCAATCAATAGAAAAAGATCTAGAAATGCCTTAGGTTATTGTAATTAGCATGTCCACATGCCTTTAATCCCAGCAATCGGGAGGCAAAGGTAGGTGGATCTCTTAAGTTCAAAGCTAGCCTGGTCTACAGAGTGAGTTCCAGGACACTCAGGGCTGTTACACAGAGAAACTCTGTCTACAAAAACTAAAACAAATATACTATATGTTTATTTATACTATAATACATTTATAAATATAAGTATATATAAATAAACATACTCAAGAGAAGGTGGAGAAGAACATGAACATGGCAGAAGTGGAAAATATGAGTCATGAGTTATGAAAAATAGTTTAGGTACCCAACTCTGGACAAGACAATGTCTATTCAGGCATAGGGATACTGCATATGGTTACCCTTAAGTGAGAGAAGTCAGGATACCCCCTTAAGAGAAAATATATTCCCAATATTTAGCAAATGACAATAATCTATACTAATGAAGTTTTTCAAATAAAACTAATTTGACTCCCAACAAATATTTCAGGAGATTACAAGGTATTAGTACATAGTGTATGAGACCATTGTCACAATTGTAGACTGGGTTGCTTTTAAGAAATCATTTCAAGGCTCAGGAGATGGCTCAGCAGATAAAATGTTTGCTGTGTAAACTAATGACAAGAGTTTGGATCCCAGCACCCAACAAAAGCCAAATAGATGTTGTGGTCCACCTGTTACCCCAGCACTCAGGATGTGGAAATAGGGGATCCCAAGGCAAGCTGGCTAGCCAGACTTCAGTGAATAGTTGAGAGTGATTGAGAAAGAACACTTGACATCAACCTCTGGCCTACATGCACGCACACTAACACTCATATGCTCACACACAGGAAAAAAAAAATCAAATCATAGACTTTGAAACTTGTCTCATCCAAATTCTTGCTATAGTCATATAAAATCATATTATACATACATATACATACACACAAACATAAATCACACAACCAATGTGGATAAGTAATAAAACTTCACCCTAGAACTGATGAAAGTTCCATACGCAGGAGAACTGTCATACCTGTCAAGTCCAAATCCTCAACACACTCCAGTGGGGCGTCTCTGCTGTTGGTCTTCTGGGCAGGATGTAGACTCACACATTCCTCTTGAGAAAAATACACGTCCAGATCTTCAAACAACAGTGGTCCCTGAAACAGGACAGCCCTATTAGTACAAGAAGCTAGCAGGTCCATTCTAGTGTTAATATAGGAACGCTGCAAAAAGCTAAAACCTTTCACATAGCAAAAAAGAAAAGGCTTGGTGTAAATATTCCTCAGCGAGGGATTCTATGAGTAAGGTCAGGAGGGAAAACATAAATTTTGAAACAGTGGTGTGAGAAGACAGTACACCGTGAGAATGTAGCCTTTCCTGAAAAGATGAGTGAACAATTCTTGGGGAGTTGGGGAGAGAGAAGAAAAAAAAAAAAAAAAAAAAAAAGGACTGGCCAGCCCAATAAGAATCCTGAGATAGCTTTAGGAGTTCCCTACAACCTTTGTCTGTCTTCCTCATCACCATGTTTGCTCAGCATCTCCTATCGCCTAAGTTTATCGTTCCATTATAAACCCTAGAGCTTTTCCTGTGATTAAAAATCACCTGGGCTTTATTAACATTATTCAACAGGTGTAGAGCCTAGAAACCTGCCACTTGGAGAAGCATTCCAGTAAGACACTTTAAGAAAGTGTTACAGACCCCCTTGCCAAGGGCTCTCCTCCCCATCTGGTAATTGTGAAAAGAGGAAGTTGGTAAGCCTAGGAACGAAGACAGCTTGGTGAAGGGCTTATGTGAGGAGGCACACGCGAGTGATGACCTGCGTGTCTAACCCTCCTGCGAGAAGGTAGGGCACGTGTAGGAAACGGCGACCGAATTCACCTGGTCATCTGATGTGGGGAGCGTGGACGCCATCTGGGAGAGCGAAGGGGCCCTTCTTCAGGTCCCCACGATGGGACAACACTTCGAGTGGAGATAATAGTCTCTAGAATCTCCGACTCGGCTGCCAGGCCTTTCCACTGCCCCCTCAGGTCCCTCGAAACCCTCAAGCTCCTTTGAGAATCTGAGGTGACGGCTTCTTTCTCCAAAACAGCTTTGAAATGGACCCACTCACCAGCCCGGGATCACTGACAGTCTCGCCCTACTCGGCTGAAGCGGCACGAAGCCACGCCCAGCCGAGACGCGACAAAGGAGGCGGAGGCCTCCACAAAACTCCCACGCTCCCATGCTCCCCCACGCAGTAGCTGTGGGGGAAACCGCCGGAAGCGACGCGCCCTCCGGCTCGACCATCCTGCATTCTGATTGGCCAGCGTGCTCCCAAGGCGGCGGTCCCTCTTCAATGGGCCAATTGAGCAGCTTCCTGAGGACAGAATCGCACCTAGCAAATGAGAGACATAGTTATTCCTGAGCTTCGAAAAGCGGCTACTTCCGGTTCCGCTGGCTGGGTCTCAGTGGTGAGTGCCCAGCCTGTTGATGGGGTCAATTGGAGCAGTAGAATGGCCTCCGAGGTACATGATGATTTCAAAACTGAGGCGGGAGCAACCTGGCTGGAGTCGGTCATGGAATGCGGGAACACACAGGTGCTGTGGCCCTGAGGTTCTTATCGGACGGGCTGAGGTGAAATGAGAGGCCTAACTTGGGCCCAGCCCTGTGTCTCAGATTGTGGGACTATGGTATGTAAGAGGTTGTGTTGTGCAATCGCAAGTTCAGGCCAGGTTAGCCTGGTTGCTTGTTTCTGACCAAAAGTATTCTAGGGGCGTGAGGGTAAGTGTACCCCACAGGTGCAGTTCAATAGAATGATTGGGACCCATAGCTGATACCGAGATGATTTCCTTCACTGGACGTCCATTGTTTTGTACCTCACACTGGACCTGCACCTGCATGGCAGATGTAACCATCACGAGAGGCAAATTGTACATTCAAAATAAAAAGGTTGAGTTCTTTCCAGAACTGTCACTTATAGGATGATTGTGCCAAAATTTTTCCTTTGTTACTGAAGGGTACTATGGCTTCACACATAGACGCTCTACCACTGAGCTGTATCCAGGCCGGCCCACCTTTCTTTTTGAACTTTTTGTAAAACAGAGGTTGACCCAGGCTAATCTTGAACTCACTCTGAAGCCCCAGCAGGCCTTGCACTTAGGAGCTTCTTGCTTCAGTAGTTATCACCCACCGAGACTGGACAGCTTTTAATTTTGGTTTCCTCAGCTGCAGAGAGGCCAAAATGTTTAGCTTTGATAATTTAGAGGATAATTTAAAATATAAAGTGTCAAACGAATTGCCAATTTGAAGGAGTTCTGGGGAGGGGGGTGACAAACAGGATTAGTACCTTGAAAATTCTGAATAAAGCCAATTCTCACTTTATTTCTTACTCTATGGCCTTGACTGCTCTGAAACTTGCTATGTAGACCAGGCTGCCTCCCAAATTGCTGGGATTAAAAGAGTGCACCACCATGCCCAGTGCCAACAACATAATTTCTTTTCTTTTTTTTTTTTTGGTTTGCTTGTTTTTTTGAGTCAGGATTTCTCTGTGTAATAGCTGAACTCACAGAGATCCACCTGCCTCCGCCTCCCAAGTGTTGGGATTGAAGGTACAGAGCCATCACCTCCTGGCAGCCAACATAATTCCAGTTAGCATGCTGATAATGGCAATGGAATACAGATAATCCATGCTAACTTTTATTGTGTCATGTACCCACCCCAAGCTTATCAAGAATTAAGATCCATTAGGGTTTGCCCTAACATGTTTCAGTACAGTGCTCTGGCACAAGAGAAGGATCTATATATACCATGCTTTGGGAAAACTAAAAATTGGAAGTAGAAAACTTTACAAATCACTAACATTTATTACAAAGGCCATCTGTCTGCTGGTAGCCAAGCTGTCTGGAAATGGATCAGTAGAGAGACTACCTAAGGGACCCAAGATAAGAGAGAAATGTTTTAGTGACAGGCAAAAGAATAAGAACTAACTTTCCTATAGATCATTTCAAAAGACACTTATTGAAGAAGAGCAGTGTGAGGAGCTCTAAAGCAAAGGTGTGTTTAGCATGTCTTCATGTGACTCATGTGACCATTTTTCTCATCTTGTTTTGTGCTTGCCATTTTTCTTTTTTTTTTTTTTTTAAGGATGTCTCATTTGGGCTAAGAATCTTGCTACAGAGCCATGATTCTTTACATTGAACCTTTTTTCAATTATTACAAAGATATAAGCAAGTTCCAATAACCAGGAACTAAGTAATAACTTAGTATCTAACCAGAGAAAAGGTCAGCCCTGAAGTGGGTAAATCAAAATTATCCTCAGCCTTCCTGGGTGGTGGTGGCATACATCTTTAATCCCAGTTCTTGAGAAGCAGAGGCAGGCAGAACTCTGTGAGTCTGAGGTCAGCCTGGTCTACAGAGTGAATTCCAGGACAGGTAAGGCTACACAGAAAAACCCTGTCTCAGAAAAAAAAAAAAAAAAAAATTCCCCCTCAGCCTTGTAGGTGTTAAGTACCAAGCAAACAAATGGACCATGAAACATGAAAGCTTGGGACTTTCTTAAAGAGCTGAGATAAAGGTCTACGGTAAACAAAGATGAGAGTGAGTTAATAGACTACTGGCCTAGTATAGTTTGAGCCCCAGCACCACATATATATATACTGGTGTAGTGTTGTGCACGTCCTCCACTAACTGAAGCATCACAAACTGAGGTGGAGGCAGAAAAACCAGGAGTTCAAAGTCACCCTTGGTTCTATAGCTTGAGGACAGCCTGGGTTATAAGAGATCTGTCTTAAAAACAAAACAAGCATTACTTCTTGATACTTTTCACTATTACCTGACATTTGTAGTGTTAGTTACTACTTACTGCTTGTCTTGCTTTTTTCTACCACAATTTTCTGCCTTGTTTGTATTAATTAAATATATTAATCATTTTCTTCTTTCCCCATTATGAATTATGTTTCCTTCATAAACTTTTTCCTGGCTACCTAGTATATATGATTAAAAATGAATCCAAATTTACTTCCCATAACACCGTATTTCTCTTGAGATGCCCAATACATTGTAATGGGAAAATACTCTTGTTCTGCTGAGTTTTTATTATAAATGGACATTGAATTTTTCTCTTTTTAATATGATTGTGTTCTTTAATAAAGTATTAAGTAACTGTGACATAAAATGTTAACCCAAGTTTATAATTCCTGAAACAAAACAAATAAACCCTTAAACATCCTTCCATGTATATATGCACTCACACAGACACATATACAAAATCTGAAAGAGTCCCATCATTTGCAAGATTTTCCATTTTCACCTTTAATGGTAATATCAATGGCAAAAGTAAAATCTATATGAATGGAAGTTTTCTCTCTAGCTAAGTGTCTTCTTTCTGAAGATATTAAGATCACATCCTATTTAGTTAAAAATAACTTAAGACTGGTGTGGTCTGGCATTGTGGCATAGGCCTTTCATCTAGCACTCAGAAAGCAGAGGCAGGCAGATCTCTGAATCTGAGGCTAACCCAGTTTTTCATATTGAATTCCAGGCCAGCCAGTGCTGCATACTGAAACCCATCAAAAAAAAAAAAAAAAGAGAGAGAGAGAGAGAGAGAGAGAGAGAGAGAGAGAGAGAGAGATAAGAGACTGGTATGGTGGTATATACCTATGACCCCAGCACTCAGAAGAATGAGTTTGAGGCAAACTGAAGGTATATATCAAGAGCCAACCTCTCTCTCTCTCTCTCTCTCTCTCTCTCTCTCTCTCTCTCTCACACACACACACACACACACACACACCTTTTCAATTATAAAAGTAGTTCATGTGTTATTTTTTAAATTGTTATTACTGGAAATAAAGGGGGTTTTAAAGACTATTGGAGGTTAATGAGTATATCCCTTTGTTGAATAAAACCATTATCTGAGTATTCTAGTTACTCTGTCTATTAAGAAATAAACAAGTATTTAATATATGCATCATCTTCTGTCCAATTGTCAGGCGGTCTCAATGTTAATCAAGAACCAGAATGCCCTAACATTCTGACACTAGACACTCTGTGGTCACACAGTCAGCTTATTCCACCTTTGGCCTTGACTCTAAAAAGTGGTATTGTCCATGGTGATCCATCTTATATGTATGAATGCTTTGCCTGCACATCTGTCTGTATACCACATACATGCCTGGTGCTCAAGGAGGTCAGAAGAGGGTGTCAGATCCCCTGCAACTGGAGTCACAGTGGTTGTTAACCACTGGAAGTGCTAGCAACTGAACTGCTAAGCCATCTCTCCAGTCCTACTTGTATTATTTCATAACAGAAGTTTTTCTTTGGATTTTGGAAGTACAATATGTGGCTCCTGTTTTTCCAGGATTGGATTTTTTTCTTTTAATGAACCTATGGTTGTGTTTGTGCACTCATAAACATATTCATGTGTGCATGAATGCATATGCCCATGGAGGCCAGACAATAATTTTGAAGTGTTACCTTTAGGACCACTGTCCACCTCCTTTGAGATTGTCTCTTATTGGCTGGAGCTCATCAATTAGTCTAGACTGATCAGGAATGCCCAGGGATCCTGCTATCGTTGCCTCCCTAGTCCTGGGATTACAAGGACCTAGCATTTTCATGTGAGTTCAAGGACTGAATTCATGTTCTCACACTTGCAAATACTTTACTGATTGAGCTGTGTTCTCAGACCTGTCCTGGTTTTGATCAATGCCGATACTAATAAACCTTTAGAAATACAAGCCTGGCCAATCTTCTCTTACCTCATGACAGACTTGTGGAGCCATTCTTCTCTTCTGAGTACTTCCAACATCCAAGTAGATGCTGATCAACAAACTGTCTGCTAAGTTTACCATGAAGCGGCTTATTCTTTAAATCTTGTTTACAAGGTTCTAGAAAGGATGTGTTTGGTGTTTCACTAGAAAACCCATGATTTTCCTCCAGTGTGCCAGGTAAATTGTGATCCAAATGAAGAACTTGTGGCTTTTAATGGTGACCCACTTGGTGTCATTGAAACCAATTTGTTTGTTAGCTTTTGTCCTCAACAGTTGGCATA